CAGGTGAGGGTGTGGTGGTTTGGCCCATCAGAGGTGCTGAGATGGCGCCAACCGGTTCAGGGGAGAAGGAGATGAAGCCGGTTCTGATGGTTTGGACCGGGGCAGGAACGGACTGGAGTTTAGGAGCAGAAGGAGGAGAAATGGAGGAGGAGGAGGTGGCAGGAGCGACTGGAGGAGGAGGGTCACGGCCAAAGGTGAGCAGAAGCAATCTGGCAAAGTCCCAGAAAGACACAGTCTGAAGTAAGTCTACGTCAAAAAGATCAGCTGCCCACCTCAGAAGTTCATCCCTCAGACAAAGCACCATGAAGGAGACTTTTTCGAACTCAGAAGCAGTTATGTCCTGGTGATGAGCACAGTCCTTAATAAAATCCAAACAGGTGTCCGGGTCTCCATGATAGGTGTACATAACCCAGGATGTTGGTGAAGCTGGAGGTTCTGCTGGGTCCTGGAGTGGTCGGTACATTCTGTCACGTTGTGCGGATGGTTAGGACCCAAAATGCAGATCACCCAGATGACAAGAGGCAGGAGTTGGTAAAAAGTAAAAATCCTTTATTTTAGCAGGAGGAACAAAAATAAATCCAGAAAGCAGCGAGCCAAAAATCCAAAAAATCAAAAACCTGGTGAATAGAAGAAAAGCTCACCTAGAGCACAAGAACTCGAGAACAAGACGCAAAGCTCACACAGAGCACGAAAACAACACTGACAAAACAACAATGTACCGACAAGACACAGAGGCAAGACAGGGCTTAAATACACTGGGGCATAATGGGAGGCAGATGAGCTGCAGGTGTGTGGAGTGTGGGGGGAGGACCAGGTGAAAGCAATGTCTGATCAGGGAAGAAACTAACATGACCTAAGAGTAAACCTAAAAACAGAAAAGCAACCATATAACTAAAATCCTAAAGGGAAGGAACTACAAAGACCGGTGGGAAAAAACATACTAAAGAGACTAATAGAATGAACAGCTGAAACTATAAAAACTGTAGAGGGCTGACTGGGGAAGACTAAAGGAACACAGGACCTGAGAGAGATATCTAGAGAGCTGCAAAAAATGGAGACACATGAGGGAGACGCAGACATGACACATGGGGGCGCTAGAAGGCACAAAAGGAGAATCTAAAGAGGGATGGAGAACCTCAGGAGACACATGGGGAAAGACGCAGACACAGACCCTGACAGTTAATTGATATGTTGGGGAAAATGTTCAGAGTGGAGGGTTTCCCCATGAGTAGAATTTTGGTTTTATTGCTGTTGAGTTTCAGGAAGTTTGAAGAGAACCATGATTTTATCTCAAGGAGACAACTGGACAGGGAGACTGGAGGGAAGATTGCATCGGGTTGAGAGGAGATATAGATTTAGTGTCATCTGAGTAGCAGTGGAAATTTATCTTGTATTTGCGAAAGATTTGGCCAAGAGGAAGAATGTAAATGATAAATAAGAGAGGTCCAAGGACAGAGCCCTGGGGAACACCGGGAGAAACAGCAACAGGGTGAGAAGAAAATGATTTTAATTGAACAGACTGAAATCGGCCAGTGAGATAGGAGGAGAACCAGGCGAGAGTGGTGTGGGTGATACCAAGGGAAGCTAACCGGTTAAGAAGGATTGAGTGAGAGATGGTGTTGAATGCTGCACTAAGATGAAGGAGGATGAGTAGAGAAAGAAAACCGGAGTCAGCTGCCATGAGAAGGTCATTTGTGATTTTAACAAGAGCTGTTTCTGTGCTGTGTAGAGGGCAAAAACCAGACTGGAACTGTTCAAAAAGGTTGTTATGCTTGAGGTGGGAGATGAGCTGAGAAGCAACAACTTTCTCAAGGATTTTAGAGATGAAAGTTAGATTAGAGATTGGTTGAAGGTTATTGAAGTTATTGGGATCCGAGCCAGGCTTTTTTAGAATAGGTGTGACAGAAGCTGTTTTGAATGCTGAGGGAACAGAACCAGTTGTGAGAGGAGAATAGATCAGAGATGAGATTAAAGGGAGTAAGGAAGGGAGACAGGATTTAATGAGAGAAGTAGGAAGAGGGTCAAGTCTGCAGGAGGAGGGTTTGGACTTGTGAATCAGGTCAGAAATATCAGTGATGGAGGGAATGGTAAAAGCTGAGAAAGGATGAATGGGAGGCAGAGAGGAAAGATGGAGTTCTGTTGGAAAAGAAGTAGATTGTTTGGTGTCCAGCTGTTGGTGAATAGTGGAGACTTTTGGCTCGAAAAAAGGGGGGCAGGTAACATTGTTGAGAAGAGAAAAAAGAGACCTAGGATTTGAGCTTGAACAGATTAGAGCAGAATAATAGGAGGATTTAGTAGCGCTGATAGATTCTTTGTAGAAAAGGATGTGATTTTTGTTCATTTCTTCATGAACCGTGAGACCAGTTTTTTTGTAGAGGCGCTCAAGTTGTCGTCCTTTTACTTTCAGTTGGCGAAGAGCGGGAGTGAGCCACGGGGCTGAGTGGGAAAAGGAGACAGTACGGTGTTTTTCAGGAGCAGTTGAATTCAAAAGGTCAGAGCGGTAGTGGTTGTAATGGGAAACCAAGCCATCAGGAGACATGGGGTCATGCGGATGAGGAAGGTCCCGGATAGCGGCGGAGAAAGAGTCAGTATTAATGTCCTTGATGTTCCTGAAGGTGATAGTCCTAGTAGTGGAGATTTTGTTCATTGGTAGGTTTACACTGAAGGAGATGAGTTTACGGTCAGAGAGGGAATAACTCTGCTTTCAAACCAGACGGGGTCACCCCAGAGCAGCAGGTCATGTCCAAAATGTGACCTTTACAGTGGGTGGGAAAGCTGATGTACTATTGGAGATCAAAATTATCCAGGACGGAAAGGAAGTCTCTGGTCAGGGGGATATTTCCATTATCAATTTGAATGTTGAAATCTCCCAAGAATTATGATATTGGGAGAGAGCAGGAATAGATGAGTGAGGGGGCAGAAAAATCACCCATAAAGTCCTCGTTTGGTTTAGGAGGTCAGTACACACTGCAGATGATGGTGGGGTGGGGCCAGAGAGCTGGGAGGCGCTGTATTCAAATGACTGGAAGGATGGAGCAGACACTGGGAGGATCTTCAGCTGTTTGCGGTGAATCATCGCGAGACCCCCGCCCCTACCAGTGGAACGAGGCTGCGAGATGTAAACGAAGTCGGATGGAGTTGATTCGTTAAGATTTATAAAGTCATTAGGCTGCTACCAAGTTTCAATCAGACAGAAAATGTCCAGGTTATGATCGTGGATGAGGAGACCTTTGCCCGTGAGCGAGCGGATGTTTAGCAGACCAAAGTTAACAGTGGAGTTAGCATGCTTTGCTATGGGGTTAGCCGGGCTAGCGAAAGGGGTTAACAAGTTGCGATGGACAGCCTCGGAGTTACCAGAAATGGAGTTGCGTGAAGGGCGATGGGATGTGGACCAGATAGATCTTATTGAGTGGGTGTCATCATGGATAAAGTTGGGCCGGGACCCACGGTGGACATATATGCTGCAGGGTTTGAGAGCGATGTCCGGGAACAAGAGGAGAGCCGCAGGTGGGGGGACCGCCAGGTGAGCACGGAACCGGAGAAGCTCAGATGACAGATACTGGATCAGTGCCGATGATGGATGAAGGAAGATGGAGAGGACAGCCCAGGGGAGAGCAAACCAGCCAAACAGTCTGCTAGTAAGCATCTTAGCCGAGAGTAGATAAATGGCAAGGTGTGGATGAGGTAGGTAGGGCGTTGTCCAGGTGGTACAGGGGCCAAGAGGCCACTGGTACACACAACTAATTAAAGAAAAATACAGACATCCAGATAAGAGATTAAAAACAGATAAAAAATGAAAACAGATAAAAATAAAATCAGGTAAAAACCGTCTACGTTAAAAGCGGATAGGAAAGACCAGAGAGCAGCTGCAGTCAAACGTGCCAGCGTCCACTCAGCAGGTGCACTTTCCACTCAGAAAAATAAATTCAATGCATATTACATTTAAATGTATAACATATTTGAAATGTTAACACTTTGTACCTGTGCTACTAAAATCTTCCACCAGATGACAGAATTTAGTATTGAAAGTGTAACGTCCAGCAATGGTCAGTTTTTAGGTACAGTTTGACCATTCAACATCTGGTCAAAAAGGAGACACGAGACCGCATGTGTCCCCTTTAAATCAGCCTGCCTTCATCCCACCAGCTGGAGCTCAGAGCCTGCAGCTCTGAACACAGATAACAAAATGTCAACAATAATGTTTTCTCCTGAAGGTCCAATCTATCAGGATTCTTCATGCCTCCATATAAGGAACACTCGCAGCCCGGATTTCCTAAATCAGATATGAACTTCTACAATTTATAAGCTGGATAATCATTAAATAAACGTTTGTTTATTGCTACTTATAATAATTATAATATAATGAAATGTTTCATTAATATATGCTCAATGACTGAAGTTTGAAATGAATGTTATGTTATGATTACATTGATTGAAATACGTTTCAGCATGTTTATATGGCGAGGTCAAAACCATTTGCACTCACACAAGAACAAAGTAAAGTTAAGTTAAACTCAGGACACATAGATAGTCCTTTACCCCAGATCAGAGCATCCAGTATCAAAGAAGGCGTGTTTCTGAGATTCTTGGTAATATTCCTCAAACTTGTCAACCTCTGGTTGGCTACACAAATTATAACATGAGAACATTAAAACCAGATTACTCTGGTGATTCCTCAGTTCTAAGGAAAGCTTCAGACCAGCCATCTGAAGCAAAACCTTCTTTAACCCATCAAAGCTTTTGACACGTCGTCAACATCTTTTTGCACCTGCGAAGCTGATACCGCAACAGTAACTGCAGAACAAGCTGATATTGTTCCGACTCCTTAAAGAGTCCCAGACGCGTGGTTCCATCTGTCTTTTGTGACCTGGAGACAACTCTAAGACCGGTTTAGCGGCGCTGCAGTTTCTTCTACGGACCTCTGTGCCTGGAAGTCCGAGGACTTCGACATTCCGGATCTATCTATCTTAGAGAGGTAGAGAGGTAGAGCTCTTAAATGGTTCAACATTTTCGTCCATTTTTTATTCAGACATAAAATTGTCCAGCAGCTGTATAAATTCAATCAGTAGTGTGTTTTCCTTTTCATCCAGCAGTTACAGCTCAGAGTGAAGATTTGGACTAATGTCAGAAACATCTTCAGTTATTTCTTCTGCCACCAAATGCTCCTCAACACTAACTTCCTCGTCCTCCTCTTCTCCTTCCTCTGAGGGAGTTTTCGGCTCAATGTAGTCAGGCTCCTGCATGTCCATGACTTTCAGGAAGTCGTAGAACTCAAAAGCAGGAGACCGGCCGTCCCCCCTAAGCAGCCCTACAGAGAAACAAAGAGATAGAAGTTAGAGTAAGATTCCTTTACAAATATATGCAGAAATTCATATAAATAATTTTCATTTAGTTGAATTTCACAGCTCAGAGGAAGAAACTGTCTCTTAATGTGGTGATTTGTGTTTTTATGTTCTTGCACTACTAACTAAAAGAAAGCAGTAGACATGGTCCATAGCTTGGGTGGGTGGTGATACGTCTGGCTTCTTCTGGATCCATCCAGCATATAGCAAGTCCATATGTGGGATTGGACTTCCCACATTGTCTTCACCACTCAGGCCAAGTGTTTTATTGTTTTTGGCCAGCTGCCTGTGGTGGACTGGCCATCAGAGGTATTAGGACATTTCCCAGTGGCTTGGCTGCAGACAAAAAAACCCCACTCCTAGCCACGCTCTGAGATTCTGCGTCGAAATATTCAGCCACTAACATTCCTATCCCGCTCTGAAGAAGGAACTGCAGCAACTTTCCACACTACACTGGGTTGTAAGCAAATTCCCAGCCTGAATTATATTGTCCCAGTCTGCCACCGGCGGCTGCCATACCACACGGTCATACTAAGTCAGTGGATGCTCTCCACTGCGGCTCAGTTGAAGTTCACAAGAAGCTGAGAAAAGAATCCAGTCTGTTTTCTCCCTGAGAAAGAAGAACTTTTGTTGGGCCTGTTTCACCAGAGCCCCCTTCAGACAGGCCATGAAAAACGGAAATGTTCAGGACTCTGTCCGTAAGACCTTTGTGTCTGAATAAAAACATCCGGATAACGTTTTCCGTAATTAAACCGGACAAAGCCCCTAGTAACAGGTCCGGACTTGTTACGGACAAGGTGGCTGCTTCAGACTGGTGAGGTCGAGTTCCGGACAGGGAGGAGGAGGGGACCGGGGGACGCTGTGCGCTCCTAGATAGCTCGCTCCTGTAGCATGCGGCAAACCATGGCAGCTCGCCTCCTACGGTACCGTTTAGACGCGCGATGGAGCGCATCACGCCGCTTCCGTGATTCCTTTAACCATTGAGCGCCATCATCCAGGTCTTATGCATCTTCGTGTGCGCAGAATTATGCTTAACATAAGTCCGACCCCCCCCAGACATCTTGAACTTTTCCCTGCTGTGTGAAGGCAGCCGAAAGGACAAGTTCCGGTACAAAAGTGGTGTGTCTGAAAACACAGTTCTGGTTAGAAACCGGACTGAATTGTCCACACATATTCCGGAATGTCAATCTGAAAAGGGCTCAGGTGTGATGCATTCAGACCCGGTCAGAGGTCATGTGCCTACCAAGGAACTGATGGTCTACTTAGTAGGAAAGGGTCGTGTTCATCTGTAATCAGAAAAATGTCGAGTTTTATTGAGTATTTTGTTATTTACCTTAGACAGAGTGGTGTAATGTGGAGGTTTAATGCTTGTTATTTCATATCTTATAATCATATAAGATATATAAGATATATCTTAGACCAAGGCGAAAACCTCTGTTGACTACAGCTGAGACTCCAGGAGATGTAATCAGTCCAGTATGTTGAAAAGGCATCACCCCATCAATGCATTTAAAAAGGGCAATCACTGGAGACAGAAGGTCACTGATGCATGACAAAAAGCCATTACTACTCACTCAGGAGACAACGAAAGGCTAATTACAAAGACATAAAGCAGATCAGAGCTGCATAAACTTTCCAACTTTAAAAGGGTTAAGAGATATTTGTTCACGCTGCAGAAATGTTGATACCATAGTTTTCCTGTGGCATATTTAAAGAATTTATTAAAATTAATGATCTTCTAACAACTGGAAAACCCATTATATAGGCTATGCATCAATAATGTGCTGAAACAGCCTCATTGATTTAAGAAAAAGAAGGAAATTAATTATTTAAAATGAAAGACTAGCTCGGAGGAATCTCCACCTGGGAACCTGCCTCCATTTTATGGGGTTTAATTGTTTGTTACATGAAGGCTTTTATTATTCAGGCCCCCTCAGAAAGTTCTTAGATGCATTCAAATATTTAATTTTGAAAACAATTTCAATATAGAGAAATACTGCCTTACTGAATGTAAGGCATTTGTTGTCACACAACAAATGAAATTTGTGTTTGGTTGACTGCCTCCTTAGCAATAAATCTGTTAAATTAATATAAAGGTTGAACAGTACCAATGCCAACCAACACCAACTCACTTCTATATTCCCCAAAGTAGTAGGACTAAGGATTCAGCTTCAGACAGACGGTGACTGTGCAAAAAATCTGGTTACCGTATATTAAAATGGTTCCTTAACCGAGACAAAAAAAAAAAAGTCTAGTCATCTCATCTCTATCTTTCAATGCATCTAAAGTAGTGGCGCGACGGATCAAACATCTCACGGTTCGGTTCGTATCACGGATCGGATACTTTTCTGGATCAGCAGAAAGATCTCGCTTTTTATTGAAACATTTTCTGCTCTATTTGCAACTTGCTATAAAAGCAGGAGTTACAGAGCGGTCTGATAGCTGATTAAATGTTAAAATGGCTTGCCCAATAAAAACACGCTCTCCCTTCGTGTTTAGCTTTCACTCATCTCTCTCCTCTCCTTTGTTTATTTTTCTGTCGTCCTGTCATACAGATTTGTCCCCAACAACTTTTACAAGTCCCGCCACGTTTATGTTACGTCCAAGGCGTGTTTCACGCCCCCCCCCCCCCCCCCCCCCCCTTCCTTTCACAGCAATAGGAGGTATGTGTGTAAATGTTAATGTTCACTTTTGCTGTTTGTATCATCGTATTTTACAGGGGAGCCAAAATGCTCGCATACATGCGACCTAAACAACGCAGGTGGTTTTTGAGCTCCTCTCCTCCTCCGCCGTGACCAACGCTGTACGTTTCTCCTCTGGATTGAACAGGTAGTGCCTCCACCCTCCATGTGATCGATCCGCAAACCGCGTGCGTGTCGAAACGTAGAGAGCAATAAGTATGGATCGCGGATCAATGATGACCCCTAAAGTGTTTTATAGTGGAGACACTACAAGTTAAAGACTGAAGGCAGAGAGGAAAATTATCTCAGCCCGACCCAAACAAATTCTTATCTGAATCTGACTTCCTGGTAGCCTTGAGCTGCAAGCAAATAAAACCCCCACGAAGGAATGCAGACAGATGCTGTGAAAACCCGACCTACCGCCGCCTTCGGATTGGTGGACTTCAGCCTGACGAGGTCATCAATCTGTAGGAGTCAATGTACTCTTTGCTTCTCCCAAGATCTCCCTCCCACCTGTGACTGTACAGTAGATGAGCGCCAGATGGCTGCTCTCGCTGGGGGAAACAGGATCCCAACCCCACCCCCCCACGCCTTCCTATTGGAGTCTCATGTTGTGTTGTCTGAAGTCTGTTGCGTATCTGTTGAGGTGTTTTTTTTTTTTTTTGCAGAGCAAAGCTGCTCTCCTGGTGGAGGGGAACTCTGAAGTGCCTTTTTTTTCCCTCCACCTGAACCAATCCTCGTGTAACCCTCTTATCTCTATTAAGGTAGCGCGACTCAGGGTTGCGAATGACCACAGTCACCAATTCTCGTCATGTGTCTTGCCCATGTATGTCTGATCTCTGAATTGTGTGTACTGAAACTCTAATTTCCCTCTGGGATTAATAAAGTATTGATTGATTGATTGATTGATTGATTGATTAAAAGTTCCCTTCACTTCCTGTTTGGAAGGAAAACTGTGAGCTCAGACACAATGGAAGTTAATGAGAACCTGTGATTGTGTAAAACTAGAGATGCATGGTGTAGGGTTTCATGTATCGCAGACTCCGCTACATCAGACTTAACGTGTTACTATGTCAAGGGTTCATGACACACAGCGATCAACCAATCACAGTCTTTTTTAAGTTTGCTGAAGCAAACCATGAAGGGTTGATTTTGTGAGATTCAAAATGTTGTTGGCTATTATATACAGGGAGTGCAGAATTATTAGGCAAATGAGTATTTTGTCCACATCATCCTCTTCATGCATGTTGTCTTACTCAAAGCTGTACAGGCTCGAAAGCCTACTACCAATTAAGCATATTAGGTGATGTGCATCTCTGTAATGAGAAGGGGTGTGGTCTAATGACATCAACACCCTATATTAGGTGTGCATAATTATTAAACAACTTCCTTTCCTTTGGCAAAATGGGTCAAAAGAAGGACTTGACAGGCTCAGAAAAGTCAAAAATAGTGAGACATCTTGCAGAGGGATGCAGCAGTCTTAAAACTGCAAAGCTTCTGAAGCGTGATCATCGAACAATCAAGCGCTTCATTCAAAATAGTCAACAGGGTCGCAAGAAGCGTGTGGACAAACCAAGGCGCAAAATAACTGCCCATGAACTGAGAAAAGTCGAGCGTGCAGCTGCCAGGATGCCACTTGCCACCAGTTTGGCCATATTTCAGAGCTGCAACATCACTGGAGTGCCCAAAAGCACAAGGTGTGCAATACTCAGAGACATGGCCAAGGTAAGAAAGGCTGAAAGACGACCACCACTGAACAAGACACACAAGCTGAAACGTCAAGACTGGGCCAAGAAATATCTCAAGACTGATTTTTCTAAGGTTTTATGGACTGCTGAAATGAGAGTGAGTCTTGATGGGCCAGATGGATGGGCCCGTGGCTGGATTGGTAAAGGCCAGAGAGCTCCAGTCCGACTCAGACGCCAGCAAGGTGGAGGTGGAGTACTGGTTTGGGCTGGTATCATCAAAGATGAGCTTGTGGGGCCTTTTCGGGTTGAGGATGGAGTCAAGCTCAACTCCCAGTCCTACTGCCAGTTTCTGGAAGACACCTTCTTCAAGCAGTGGTGCAGGAAGAAGTCTGCATCCTTCAAGAAAAACATGATTTTCATGCAGGACAATGCTCCATCACACGCGTCCAAGTACTCCACAGCGTGGCTGGCAAGAAAGGGTATAAAAGAAGAAAAACTAATGACATGGCCTCCTTGTTCACCTGATCTGAACCCCATTGAGAACCTGTGGTCCATCATCAAATGTGAGATTTACAAGGAGGAAAAACAGTACACCTCTCTGAACCGTGTCTGGGAGGCTGTGGTTGCTGCTGCACGCAATGTTGATGGTGAACAGATCAAAACACTGACAGAATCCATGGATGGCAGGCTTTTGAGTGTCCTTGCAAAGAAAGGTGGCTATAACTCCCAGTCCAGCTCAGTGGCCTAGTGGTGGAGTGTCCGCCCTGAGACTGGGAGATCAGGGTTCGATTCCTGGTCGGGTCATACCAAAGACTTTGAAAAAATGCGACTCAATGCCTCCCTGCTTGACACTCAGCATTACGGGGTTGGATTTGGGGGTTAAACCACCAAATGGTTCCCGAGCACGGCTGTGTCTGCAGCTCACCGCTCCCCCAGGGGATGGGTCAAATGCGGAGAACAAATTTCGCACACACATCAGTGTGTGTGACAACTAATGGGACTTTAACTTTAACTTTAATAATGGTCGCTGATTTGTCTTTGAATTGTTTTTGAATGTCAGAAATGTACATTTGTGAATGTGGAGATGTTATATTGGATTCACTGGTAAAAATAAATAATTGAAATGGGTATATATTTGTTTTTTGTTAAGTTGCCTAATAATTATGCACAGTAATAGTCACCTGCTCACACAGATCCCCCTAAAATAGCTAAAACTACAAACAAACTAAAAACTACTTCCAAAAACATTCAGCTTTGATATGAATGAGTTGTTTGGGTTCATTGAGAGCACGGTTGTTGTTCAATAATAAAATTATTCCTCAAAAATACAACTTGCCAAATAATTCTGCACTCCCTGCATTATTATATACTTGTCTGTGATGGTTGAGCTACATGTGGGAATGGCAGCGGTACTTAGACCCAATCGGCAAAAAGTGGAAGGTTTTCCCACCTCAGAGGGCATACCCCTCCCCTGTTGGATCAGGTAAGATGATGCTTCAAAGTCAGAAGCTAAAACGAGGATGCTAATGGAGGAGACACATCTGAAGGAAGCAGTGTGTTATGTTGGGTTGTGGAACTTCTTGTGGACTAACTATTTTAGTAGAGGACATTAATCAGACCCCTGTGGATGTTCGAAGTGGCTCTATCCTGATACATAAGAATGGTGAGTTGGATGTTAGTTTGCATTTCTGAGAGGTTTGACAAGATGATCTACAATTATGATTGTTTCATGTTGCAAAAAATAAAATAAAAACACTGATTTGACCCAGAAGAATATAAATGACCTCCCCAGGATGTAAAACATCAACGGGTTAACTGCCAACATGATGGCAGGAGTAAAGCATAACCTACAGAGCATTTCAAGTCATCTGCTTTAAATGTTTGTAGAAAAATATTGACAGGAACCAAAATCAGGACTTAATTTTTCCAATAATGGAACACTTTGTTTTTCTTTTTACCTAAAGTATATTTTCTACTCACTAGTGTTTTTTTTTTAATGTACCTGCTGAGGACTCTGTCCCATCCTCGACCTTCTGCAGCCACTGCAGCACTGAGGAAGCCAGGATAGGAGTGCTGGGTGGGTACTGATAGATCTCATCTCCAGTAGTTAAATGTGTTAAAACCAGAGCAGGAAGAGGTGGCAAAGTACCCAGGTACGACTCCAGGACGGACATACCAGCTGGAGTGTGGCCTCTGAAACAGAAACAAACCAAAACTGTCCATAAAGTTGTTTATATATATATATATATATATATATATATATATATATATATACACATATATATATATATATATAAAAAATAAAAATAAAAATAAAAAAATATATATATACACATATATATATAAAAAATATATATATATATATATTTATTTATTTTTATTTTTTTTAAGGAAAAAATATTTTAGGCAAGAGCATGGAGAGTAAAATACGTACAGGTGGATCCAGCAGGTCTGGTACCGCTCCATCTTTTCACCTCCCAGCTCCAACAGGCCTCTCATCTCCTCCAGGAGTGCCTGGTTCTGCCTCCAGCCGATCTCGTCCTCCTCTTCTCCCACAAACAGGAGGAGCAGGGCTTTGCCCTGAGAGAGGATGGAGGGCAGATTTTCTACAGTCAACTCGGGCTGGAGGGAGGAAAAAAGAAAAAAGAGGAGCAGATGATCCCAAATCTGCATAGAATCAAGAATAATAAACGTCTGACAACAAACTAAACCCATAACTGTAAAACGGATTCATCTAAATCAGCACAAGGTCATGGTTCCTGATTATCTACATTTTACACGTTAACTCTGCTGCTTGAGGCTGCTGCTGGCAAATAAAACCAACGATGCAGCTACAAGAACGTTTGACGCAGCAAACATTTCACTGCAGGTGGAGATATTTAAAAAGAAACATTCATGAGAAAACTTAGAAAAATAAAAGAATTACACTAAAGGAGTAAAAATAAAAGTTTTCATTTGAAGCAGCCCTCTGCTGAATAGAAACAGCACTTAACAGTTCTTTGGTTCTGGTAGGAGGTCTCTACCTGCTTTACGGCAGTAGCTGTTTACTGTTATGGTAGCTAATATAAAGGCTAGCAGTTAGCTTTTTCAGTTTGCCAACAAAACAAGCAGTTTTTTTTATGGCGGAGCCTGAAAAGGTAAGAGAATAACGTCTTTGAAGGTGAAACAGAACTTAGAACCAGTGTGAAAATTGGAGCAGCCTACACTCTTCTGAGGATAAAGAAGGATATGACATCACAGACTGATGGTGACCTGGCTTTGTTGCTACTGGACTTGAAAGTGTTTCTTTTTTTTGTCCAGCAATGTAGATCTTTGTGCTTTTTGGCTTATTTAGCATCAGTTGGCTCATGTTAGCATTAGTTTACATTAGCAAACTACATTAGCATTAGCTACAGCAGGGTACGGCAGAGTTGTTTATGATTCCATTGTCTACCAGTAGGGCAGCAGAAAACTGTGGAAAACTTATTTAGTGTCCATTTAAAATTCTCATGGTGAACACACAGCTTTGAAAATGTGCTGTACGTCTTCGTGTTTACCTAAATAACTACAGAAATATAGCACTTTTGGGTGAGCCATTTTCACTACTTCCCCTGTTTATAAAGACGAGAGAGTTGAGAAAGAAGAAAAACATTTTACTTTTTACACCAACAAAGCTGTAGTTTCAACAGCTTAATCTGCCCTCATTTTGATAAAAAGAAAAAAAAACAAGAGATAATCTAACAAAACTGAAAAACTATGAGCGCATGCACACACACACACACACACACACACACATACCAGTGGGTGGAGCAAAGCAGCCCTAACTTGTGTGAGCAGCTCTTTAACGGACGAGGATACAGGAAGTATCAAGGGATGGTTGCCTGTCCTCCAAGATGGAAACACCAACACTGCTGGAGAGTCCACAAAATGCTCTGCAGTCCTAAACGGTAAACAGAGGAACACAAATACAGCAAGAGCTGAAGTCACCCCTGCCCTTGACAGTGAAGTTTATGGGGAAAATAAATTAAATTTTCTTTTAACCACTTGACTATTTTGTCAGTTCTTAAAAAAAAATAAAAATAAAAACTTATGAAGGATTTCTTTTTAAAGAAAAGTGTGTTTTAACGGAGCCAATAGCATAACTACACCAACTGAATTATCAATACAATATAGAGACATCTGTCTTGGTTTTGTGAAGAAAAATGTATGTTAAATTGATCAGTCCCTTAATGTAAATTAAGCAGACTATTAATAGGTTTAAAAAGTAATTAGCTTTTATTTTCATGGGCAAATATCGCTGGATATAATCAGGAAAACAGACGCTAAAAGTTTACCAACATTCATTTTAAAAAGTGCAGGACCAAGGATTGAGCCTTGAGGAACTCCATAAATAGTGCTGAAAAATATTTGTCTATACAACTGAATCCTGGTTTATGAGGGCCACCACCTGCATTTTTTTCCCAAGGTTTTCTTGCTTCAACAAAAGCAGGTGATTAATAGGCCCCTGGGAAACTTGAGGATAGGCTGAAGAAGCTATTTAGTCATCAAATCGGGTGTGTAGGATATTGGGATTAGCTAAAACATGGGTATGACCAGGATTGAATGTAGTCCAAAGCCTTGATAGGACAACCCATATTTGGAGTTTAGTTAGGGATTTTATATTTAGGTCCTGAGATAGTGTTTAAAACCAGTCTGCACAAATTATTAAAAGTAAGTAGTAGTAGTGTTATGTAAGCTGTCCAAAATCATTCATTGGTCTTATTTTTACCCTTAGAAGAGCCTTAGTCCTCTGGTTTTATCTTTAACATTGTTTGAAGTAGTTAACAAAACGTAGGGTTACGTTATGTAAACCCTGGTTCTTTGATAACAGAGAGAGGTGTTTCACTATGGGAATCGCCCTGGCGTGACCAACTACGGAAGCTCCAATGACATCACGTCTGTCCCTGACAGACTGGTTGTGCCATGCCCAGGCTCCGCCCACCCAGTATATACACGGCCAACCAACCCCTCCTACTCATTCGGACGATTCCTTACCGTCACCGCAAGAAGGGAACTGCTGGTGAAACACCTCACTTTGTTATCAAAGAACCGGGGTTTACATAACGTAACCCTACGTTCTTTTTCTAACTTCGTTCGGTGTTTCACTATGGGAGATATGGCCCACTCCCGGATTGCATGTCCCTCCCGAAGCGAGCTGCAGCAAAAATTCTGCTCAACCCCTAAGCAGATGCTGTGCATCCTGCCTCCAGCACTGAATGCGCCAGCGAAGGTTGAGACACATCCAGCCTGTAAAACCGCACAAAAGTTAGCGGCATGGCCCAGCTAGCTGCTGCACAGATTTCCTGGACTGACACCCCACGAAACAGGGCCCAAGATGTGGCCATGCTCCTTGTAGAATGAGCCCTCACCCCCAGAAGGGGTTCAGCACCTTTGCACCTATATGAAAGGCTGATTGCTTCTACAATCCAGTGTGCCAGTCTCTGGCGAGACACAGGTTTGCCTTTATGGGCTGTGGCCCAAGAAACAAACAACTGGTCTGATTTTCTGAGACCAGCAGTCCTGCCCATACAAGCCCTTAAAGCTCGAACAGGGCAGAGACAATTAAGCTTCTGCTCTTCTGCTGAGGAAAAAGGAGGTGGGCAGCTATAAGATGACTCCATTACTTTAGGCACAAAAGCTGGATTGGGCCACAGACGCACCTTATTGTAGCCAGGGGCCCACCGTAAACAAGAGGGACTGACTGACCATGCCTGAAGGTCACTCACTCTCTTTGCAGTAGTTAAAGCTAAGAGCAGTGCAGTTTTTAAAGAGAGAAATTTCAATCCAGCCCCATCTATCGGCTCAAAAGGATGATGACAGAGGGCCTCCAAAACAAGAGAGAGGTCCCACAGTGGCCTAAAGACTGGTAGCTTACGGTGAGCACCCTTCATGAAGCGACTCACTAACGGGTGTTGCCCCACTGGTTTGTCACCAAACCCCACATGGCATGCAGAAATTGCAGCCAGATACACTTTAATAGCGGAGAAAGCTTCACCCTTGTCCACAGACTCTGCAAAAAACAGAGTACATCCCCCACCGAACACTGAAATGGGATAACATGTTTTTCTTCACACCACCCCTCAAAAACCCTCCATTTACAGCTGTAAAGAGAGCGAGTTGAGGGGGCCCTAGCGTTTTGAATGGTGTCAACGACACTTGGGGGCAGGCCTGCCATGCTCAGATTTCACCTCTCACGCGCCAGGCCCACAGAGACAAGTGGTCTGGGTGAGGGTGATAAACCTCTCCCCTGGCTTGGGACAGGAGATTCCTGTGGACAGGCAGGGGCCACGGTTTGTCCCAAAGCATCTGGATTATTTCTGCCACCCACGGCTTGGATGGCCACAATGGAGCCACCAAGATCAAAGACAGTCCCAGTTTATGGAAAACCCCAGGGTTGACAGATGCTCTATTAACTTCCTGGTTTTCTCTGACGCCTCGTCCTTGGACCGGGCGCATAGGAGCAGATCGTCCAGGTAAAATAAAACCCTCATTCCCTCCGTGCGCAATGGCTGCAGGGCTGTCTCCAGACATTTGGAGAAGGTGCGCAGGGCTAGCGAGTAGCCGAAAGGGAGACGATTGAACTGGTATTGAACTCCCTTGAATGAAAAGCGCAGGAACTTCCGGTGTTTGGGAATTACTGGGATGTGGAAGTATGCGTCTTTCAGGTCTATTGACATGAACCAGTCCCCGGAGCGCAAGTATTCTAGGACTTGCCTCATTGTTAACATGCGGAAATGCATCACTGCTATGGAGCAGTTGAACAGGGAAAGGTCGAGAATTGGTCTCATTCCTCCCGATTTCTTCGGTACTACGATGTAGTGGGAGTAGAAGCCTGAGAGCTCTTGTCCGCGAGGGACTTGGGAAATGGCGTCCTTGGACAGAAGTTCCTGCAGCCCCAGCTCCAGGGCCTGAGATTGTTCCTGTGATGTGAACGTCGTCTCCACGATCCCGTTGAAGGGAGGAGGAGCGGACTGAAAATGGAGTGTGTGACCGCAATGAATGGTCTCCAATATCCATTTGCTCATGAGACAAAGGCAGCGCCATTCTTGCGCGCGTTCCGACAGCGGACGCATGTTTGAAGTCACGTGAACGGCGTCTGAGGACTGGGTTCGCACCCTTACCGCCGTCGCTCGCACCAGAGAACTGGGAGCGACCCATGGAGGGCTGCGCTCGAAAGGGCGAGTGTGAAACAGCTGGAAGAGGCTGATCCGCACCGCGGAGCATGGAGTCCAAAGTTAAAGGACGAGTGGGAGCCGGGCCCGTGTACGGGGACGACAAAGTGCCAGCGGATGGAGCCGCGCACTGTGTCGCCACGCATGGTCGCGACAGCGCCATGACATCCCGTCCCACCCAGCGTTGTGGGGGAAGTGGAATGTGTTGGGCCTGGCTGGAAGCTAGGGCTGGTGCGCAAATGGAATACGCCCGTACAGCTGGCCATGTAATATGACTGACTGCGGGAACATGCAGATGTGTCGCAGTGTGGGGAACATGTGTGAGGATTCGGCAGAGGATTCTGCAGAGGACAGTAGGATTGTGCTCTCTAAGTGACGTCTTTTGGGTTTTATTTCAAAATCAACATCATTCACAGAGTTATTACAGTCATAAGCACACACATTTCCCCCAACGAGTCATTTTTGTGGTTGCTTTCGGCGAGGTTCCTGCGACTGTGACTGCCAAGACGGTGTCTGCTGGCTCTTTTGAAACCGATGGCCGCCAACTCTCTAGTCCCGCTGAGGTGGAGCCGAAGCGGGAGGCCGGCTCTGTGGGGCGGGCGGTGCAGCTGGGTGCCTGAAGTTTCCGCGTCGTTCATCCCATCCTGTGGAGGAACGGCCGGAGTGCGAGGCTGACCGAGGGTGGACCAGGTCTCGCACCGTGGCTGACAGTTCAGCTGTCTTCTGAGCCCTCTCGATGACGCTCCAAAGATGGGAACCAAACAGAACGTCAGAGGTGATGGGGCCTTCCAGCATCTCCCTGTGCAGGTGTTCAGGAATGGAGGGCAGGGCCTTGAGCCACAAGGCCCGCTGGATAAGGGTCTGCCAGGCAGCAATGCGAGCAGAACCGGTGAGTACAGCAGCGCACAGATTGAGAATGGCATCAGCAGTTTTAGTAATGATGGTTTTTGACTCGTCAGGAGCATCAAGCTCTTCCATCATTTTGGAAATGCCAAAGGCAAGAAGGGCGATGTTATTTCCTGCAGCGCCGGTCTGGAAGGCGCGCTGGTGTGCGCGATCGGTGAGCCGCGTCAGCAGCTGGTCATGCTTAGAAGCGGGAACTGCTCGCGGGGCAGGGAGGTGGTTCTTGGTGCCAAACAGCGAGGCCAAGTCCGGCTCCAGTGGAGGAACGGAAGGCCAGCCTTGGTCGGAGAAGCTCTTGACCTTGGTAATGGGCGCATATGTGGAAATTAGCGCCTTGAGCTTAGCAGGTTCGGAGAAGGCGGCAGACCAGCAGCTCATGGCAGCAGGGAAGCGCGGCCAGATGGGGTCTGGACAGCGCGTCTGTGTTGCCCCGAAAATTCCCGCTAAATCATCTGCTTCAGGCGGAGCCGGTTCTGGCATGGCTAGCCCCTTGTGGACCGCAGCCACGGAGATGATGGCAGGCAGCTCCTGGAGCAGTGCTCTAACTGCTGGCAGGGAGGAGCGAGAAGTCACTGGAGCAGAAGGACCCGCTGAGCGAGGCTCATCGACCTCCGTGCTGTCCAGGAGGGAAGAAGGGCTATGGCAGCCAGCCTCGTCGTACTCCTCACTGTCGATGACATCGTCCAGTCGGTTGAAGCCAGTCGGCTCCTGGCCGACGTTGAAGAACTGTAAGGCCTTGTCCAGCAAGTACATTTAAGCTCTTCATGATTGGCTGATGCTGAGATCATCCTTCCAATAGCAGCTAGCTTAAGGGCTAAGACTAGAC